CATAACTTTTCCCCAATAATAAACATTGTAACGAGGAATAATTGGCAACTCTCGAATATTCATACGGCGTTTTTCCTTAGCACGTTCGTGCTAAGGAAGAACGCTGTATGAACATTCGGGAGTTGCCAAATTGCCCCAGATAAAACACGTATTGTTGAGGAAAGTCATGCGTATTTTTCCTTGACATTTTCAGGAACATTAGGTGAAATTGCAGACAAAATTACCTGAAAAATTGGAAGGAAAATATTCATAAATTTTCCGGGAAATTCTTGTTTATCAAAGGGCACTTGGCAACGCCTAATGGCTCATACGGCGTTTTTCCATAGCACGGCAGTGCTCGGTTCCGAGTTGAAGGGGATCGTCGGTTTGGCGTCGCGGGAGCGGCGGGCGATAGCGGGGCGGAACGTAACGGCATGGCGATAAATTTTCGCGCGAGCAAAATCCGAAATGGGACCGACTTGGAGGCTGGCTCTGGCTGACCCTAAAAGGCACGGGAACGGGGGAACAGATGCAGATAGCGTGAAACGTGCAGTTTGTCCGCCTGAAACGCTCCGGTCCAGCTTCGCTCCGAGCCGGAAATATGATCTCCGAGTATCACGTACTCCGTACTCCGTACTTGCACCGCGGCGCGGCCGGGCCAGGCCAGGGGACTCGGGACTGGGCCACGACTGCGACGCCGCAGAACTCCTGACGTTTCTTTCGGTTTATATTCAGATGGATGCCGACCCAAGATAATTCAGTGGATGATACCGGTCCATCGTCGAACTCAAGTTGGTGGTACTGCAACTCAAGTTGGAGTAGTACCGCAACATTTGGGTTGGTAACCTAAGTTATTGGGGTCATACAACAATTACTTGGGGCACTACCGCAATTAAGTGGAAGTGTTCACATCATCCAACAATCCCCTGCTCTTCTTTTTTCCATGCAGAATTTTCAGAGATTTTGGACCTAAAATTCCTTTGCTTTTCCGGAATTTATTTATTCAATCTCTTCCCACATGATTTTGCAAAAACTTTCTTCTCACGAAAACCTTTAGGCGCGAATAATCTTCGCAATGTTTCGGCGGAAGAAAAAACAATTGCAAGATTCCGCGGATAAATTCCCTAAATTTTCAAAGTTAAGCGACATTTTTTGACTTATCGAGAACTCATCACTCCGTCAGATCTCCCCCTGCTTCAATTCTGTACTATATTTTGATCTCTCCTCTATGGTGTTAATGGCTCAATTTTTAAAAGCACCAAATAAACGTATCTACCTACCAACCGATTTTCACAATCACAGACAACTTCGGATAAGACTTAATGTTGCTGCGCAGCGACTTATCCGGAACTTCGAAAACTTTCCACACGCACAAACTACCGCATCCATCGGTTTGAGTAAATCGTGAACCTTCGTATTTCGAGACACGGGCTGTGCATTAGCGATTATTCCACCCCCATCGCCACAACTCCGTGCAACTTGCCCACAAGGTAAATTTACAACAAGTAAACGACGCAAACTTCAGGTAACTAACAGTTCCAACTCTCGAATCCGAATCCCCGCGCATTTACAAATCGGGCCCAACCACGGGATCCGATAAGACCCTGCGACTTTGCGGCCAGCAGTAATGTCGCCGAGGTGTTGCAAATCATGCCAGAAACGAGTTAATTAAACCACCGTGAGCATGATCCTGCGGCAGTGAGCTTCAAATTCAAATTACCGGCAAGCATTACCACCCCCCACCCCCTCCTCCTCGCGGCCCAACGCCGCGACGCCTTTTGTCAGGGTCAATTTCCTCACCTTTGGTCTCGTTATGAGGTAGTGCGGTGTTGTCGTGCAGGTGAAAAGACTGCATTTCACTACAGCACGGCCATTCCTACGATTCATTTTTCCGAGCTTCAATAGCATATCTTCACTTTCCGGATTAGTGATACAAGCGCTTTAAGACAAGGTGCTTCGGTGCGACACCTTTCGAACTTTTCCAATGTTTTAGGAAATATTAATGAACAGAATCACTTGGAAATTTCAGGTACCAGGTATTTTTTTCCCCATCAATGATACTTCCTGAAATTTTCATGAAAGTATGTGCAAACGTTTTGAAGGAGGAAATAAAATAATTTTAAGACAAAGCCAAAATACGCAGTGCTAGAATCTGAATGAAACTTGAATGCAGCCGGTGAGGTGAACTTTAGTTACTGTAAGTCATTTCTGAACACTGAAAAACTTTTCTCTTAAGATATTATTTTGACTTGAGGCTGAAGCATCATTTTTTTTTAAGTTGAATCCGTGCGGATTTTACTAAAAGTTCAGTGTTCTTTAGTTAAAATAGTGTCGTTTTGCTATCGTAAAGTTTAACTTTAAAAACAAAAACGATTTTAGAACAACGTACTTAAAACAAACTGACTTTATGTTAAATCTGCGTGGATTAAACTAAAAAAAAAAAAAAAAAAAAAAAAAAAAAAAAAAAAAAAAAAAAATTCGACAAAAAAAGACGCTCTAAGTCAAAATAATATCTGAAGAAAACCTGTTTGCGGAGAAATAGGTTTTAAAAAGTCGGTATGTAAATAATATATTAGACTAAGTTGGGGAAGGGGTGGTCTTCCACGACGAGGAACGTCATCGCAAGGAAACAGAGATGAGAGCGAGAGGTTGAGAAGGTTGAGAAGCCCGACGACAGATGTCACAGGGCGGAAATGGGTGGCAATTGGGGTGACAGAGACATGGGACACTTCTCGGGTCCCTGGAAGGCTTGACTCCCCACAGCTGTTCTCCTACCTACCGTTACAGTACTTGGTCCACCCTCGAATTACGCAAAAAAAAACTCCGTCGCGCAAAGCCAGAGGTGGTCTATGAAATCAAACATAAATTCAAGCAAGCTCATGATATATTTTGACCAATTTGGCCACAAACCTGACTCCTCTAGCCCTAAGCGCACGTCCAAACAAAAATTTATTTGAAAAAACCTTTCATTTTGATTTTGAGGAAATAAAGTTTTAAAAATACTTATAAAAAATTGTAAAGACATTTTGGAGAACAGCTTGGGCGTTCTTGGTTCTAGAAAATCTCTTTTGAATGTTCAACAAATATTTTATTTTATTTTTGGGTTTACAAAAAAAAGAAATAAAGATATTTAAAACATGCTCTTGAAAACCCTCATTTTAATCGAACATTTTAAAAACATATTAAAGTAATGATTGGTTATAAAAAAGTTTTAAGATTATTACATGAACCCTTTTAGAAATGTTTTTTCAAACCATTAAAAATTCCTTCAAAACTTCAAATGTCCGTGACTTAATGCCTATTGACGCTTTAAAATGATTAAAACATTTTAAAGACGCATATGTACATACATGTGACCATAACTTATCTCCTTAATAAATCCGTCCAACTTTGTTATTTACGGATTCTCTTTTTCAGGGCGACTAAAATGAGAAAAAGGAAATATGACAATTGTGTGCACGACTTTTGTATAAGGCCACTCATTGTCAACCGTACAGAGAGACAGCAGGCCTTTACCTTCTCTCTTTCTTATCTCAAGGTTATGATATACTTTTTCTCATAATCCACTGTTTACATACCCTCTTTAATTGTACATATGAAACTCGAGTTTAGGTGAAAATATTGAAAGAGAGATGATAAAGAAGTACAGGTACAGTTGCAGCTGCATCTCTCACAGTCTCATATCGCGCGAGACTGTTTAATGATTGAATCATGACACTTTGGAACGACTTCCCTACAATTATATGGCTAAAGTTTACTTACGGCAATTCTTTCCGGCATCCATATAATTTGTCATTTCCCAGACGAAAGAACAGAACCACATTTCAACGTTGCAAAATCTGTACTCACAAATTGTACTTCAACTAGGAAACTGTCGGGCGTTTCTGACTGAAATTTTACTAGTTTTAACTTGACAAAAAGTAGAAATTACCAAAATTTTTGAAAGAATTCAACCGGTCTTATTCTCGTAAAAAAAGTGTTTAAGTTAATGTTGTAACATGCAATTGTTGCTTTCCTCTTTTAGGGAGAGGAGAATCATATGACCTTACGGCCTGACTTTTGAAATGTTGTGTTCGTTGGGATGAAAATACAAAACTAAGGAGAGATAAAGTTATGTGATTGGTTGGATTCATCAGTCGTTCTCTTTTTCGAACCTAGGTCGGGTAGAATTTACAAGCGGAAGCAGGAATTTTTTGAGGGTAATATGCAGGGGGGCAGCTCATAAAAAGGGGTCAGGGGAGGACACCAAACCTAAAGGAGTCCAGGGAAGCTCCTTCAGTTTTTCAGGGGGGTCCGGAGGGGGAGGGGGATGGAAGGCGGCTTCCTCAGTTCCAAAAAGAGGTACTTACCGGGGGCCTCCACGAGTGAATTTTGAAAAAATCGAGTCGAATCAAGAACAAATTTAGATTGTTATTACCGACTGATCAAGGTACAGTATCAAGGATGAAACATGTCACGAACTTGCCAAAATCCCTCAAACTTTCTAGGAGCCAAGTGGATTTCAGCAAGGGCGCCCCCCCCTTTCCCCCTCGGTTTCCCACCAGTTCCGCTCAGGTCGGAATTGCTGTCAAGCTATCGAATCGGCCACTCAAGAGAGGCCTTTCGGGCCGACATACTGCCGTACCGAGGCAAAACGCCGTATGAACCTTCATCAGTTGCCAAATTTACTTTGATTAAATACGAATTTTCAAGAAAACTCATGAAGATTTTCCATTCAATTTTTCAGAGAATTAGCTATGTAATTAGATCTAAATTAGCCGAAAATTTCAGGAGAAGATATCCATAACTATCCTCAAAAATATTTTATACGCGGAAATTTGACAACTCTCGAATGCACATTCGGCGTTTTTCCTTAGCACAGCAGCATGCTAGGCACGGAGAAGAGGATGACTGATGAACACGGCCGTAACTCCATTTCTCCTGGATCTTGCCTCATCCAGTCGACATCCACAGCATTTCTACAATTGAGGCCGCTGTTTTTTATTCATAGTAAGGGATTATTGCATGAAAAACTCACTCACCAATGATAGGGCGACGCCGGGGTAATCCAAATCTGTAAAAAAGAAAACACCAAATCAGAATTCGAAAGAACAAGCGCGGAAAACACTGGGAAAAGCGTGCGACGACAGCGGCGGCGGATAGCGAGGCGCGGCGAGTGACACTGATACGGGGCCGAGTTGACACCGACAATGACCTAGAACTGCAACGAACGACGACGACGACACAGCGACGGAGTGCAGCGAGCGAGAAGTGGCACTACACGTTCGGTTCGGCGCGCAAAGAGGAGGCGACTGAGGACGAGGAGGACTCACAACACGCGAGAGAGAACCCGCCTTCCTTGCAGTTGCACGCCGCGTTGGCGTGGGGGTCGCTGGTCCCGGTCGCCCCCCCCTCCCCGCCTCCAGGGGGCAACGGCTCCCGACTCCGGGATGCGCTACCAACTTTCGGTCGCCTCTGCTGCGGTTCTTACGCATGCGTAAAATAGACCAACTGGGTGTCTAATTTTTTTTTTTTTTAATTATGGGAAATCTTGATTTTTTGACCGCTAAATCCTGATTTCATAATTTTCCCAAATCCTGTTTTTTCCGGGGATCCTTCAAAATTTCTGTACAAGCGTACGCGAAAGCAGAAAAAAATCCAATCGGATAGCCGACTTATGTAACACATATTAGCGCCTACAAGACTGCACGAATACTTCACGCATTGTATCAAACACAGTGAGGTCATTGCGGTCAGCTTGAAACGGATAGCGCCTGCAAGAATGCATGAATACTTCACGCATTGCGTCAAACACAGTGCGGTCAGCGTGAAACGCATAGCGCCTACAAGACTGCGTGAATACTTCACGCGTTGCGTCCAACACAGTGCGTTCAGCAGCGGTCGGCGTGAAACGCATAGCGCCTACAAAACTGTCGGAATACTTCACGCATTGCACCAAACACGGTGCGGTCTGCGCGGCGCGGCAGCGGAAGTTAAAATCACTGATCCACATTTATGTTTGCTCTTTCATAATTTTTTCGTTCATTTCTTATGAATGGAAAGCCTTGTCCACACGGAGATAGGTTTACGAAACTTAACTTTCGCGCAAAGTTCCGTGAACTTTTGCTAGTAGTGTTGACAGGGCTTTCCCAAAAAATGTGTTCAACACGAGTAAATGCGTCTTATGCACTCCTTCCCCGCTGACACGTTCTTTTGATGGTTTTTATCGAGTTTCAAAACGACTGAGAAGGGAACGGCAAGTAGGTGAATCCGGCCATAGTTTGTTTGATGAATTTCATAGTTTAAGTTAGAATTACTAACTGAACTGAACACGAGGATACCTTTCGGTTCATAAATTGAACAATTATTAAAGGAGGTATGACAAAATGATGTAATCTACTTAAATACATGAATTCAAATAGGGAATGCCGCCAGATGACGTCACTAGCTGGGTGGTGAATTTCCTTCACTCTTGAATCTGTTTTCATACGATTCCCCATATAAAACAATTATAAAAAATGAATGCAAAATCGGCTCTTTCAGCACTTCCGAATGAAGCAAAGAAAAATGTGAGTGTAACTTCTCCAATAAGCATATTCAGTTATAGTTAATTCCTGCATTTGGAAAAAAAGAGTTGTGTTGACACGGTGTGTACGTAGCGCAATTCCTCCAGAAAATTTTAGAAAAACCATAAGAACTGTGGCTGCGGTTTTCGAATCTTTCAGCGACTATTTTCATTGGCAAGGTAAAATAGGTCAGTTACTCGTAGGTGGTTAATACGACTGAGAAGACTTTTGACAGGCACAGGATTTTTGAATTTCTAGATAGTTAAGCTTCGGAGAAAACGGCTATCTGAGCCGGAATCACGGGTCCAAAAGCGGAAGAGCTCATCGTACGCGCGCCACCCTTCGGAAACGGAAAACGTGCGCGATTACCGAGAGGGCGCATTTCGAGACCACCGTAACTCCACCGCGCGCTGCGCTGAGACTGCAGCCGTACTTAAAAAAAACGTCGTAAGTTCCTTCAGGCGTTGCCAACTTTCCTCTCATAAAAAACAATTTAATTGGGAACGTGGTACATACATATCTGTCTTCAAGATTTTCCGAAAAGGAGGGGTATCGATTAGGGCCTTTTTTGCCCTCCCCCCCCCCCTCATACAATCTGGAAATTTATGCGGGTTCTCTGAGTTGACTCAATGTAGTTTACGGTAATAATCATGATTTGGTCCATGGGCCAATTGATAAGTGTTAAACGGTTGCCCGAGCATAGGTCTGCAGGCGCATTTTAGCGAAAAATGCGGGTTTTTCTATCACTCAAAGGCTTTTAATTGACACCTAGCACATCATCTGACTAAAACGAGCTTTTGATAAGTCATCACGGAGGCTTCAGGGCACATTTAAACCCTGATTTGGTTTTAGTTAGATGATGTGCTCTAGGTGACCAAAAAAGGTACTTATCGATACCCCTCCTCCTGCTCGTATTTTAATCGAAAATATCTAAAAACTTCAAAGAGAAATATGCATACTTAGCTCCCTTCAAAAATTCATTTTTTATCAGGGGAAATTCGGTAACATTCGAATGCTCATACGGCATTTCTCCTCAGCGCGGGAGAGTGCTAGGGAAGATCATATCGTGAACCGCGGAAGGAGGAAGGAGAGAGTGCAAAGTGGGTTATCTGTCGCCTTCAGTTTGTGTTTCTCTCGTAATTAGCACCTCCTCCACACCACCGGCACCAGGTGACACATCTCACATGCAGAGCAGAGAGTCCCTTGACACGAACTGCACGGACGCCCGCCGTTGCTATTCCTCGCTGCAAGAGGCACGGTTGCAGGCGATCGTTAAAACTGAAATTTGGGGGGAAGGGGCGTAATCTGTGATAGCGAATCCAAAAAAAAGACCCCGCAAAACTCTTATGGGGAGTTGTGCCATGATCAAGGTGGCAAAATTTCATGAAAAATAAAATCTTGAAATTTCACGTGAAAATTTTTTATTAAATTTCTGAAATGTCTGAGAGATATTGAAAAATACCGGTTCCTTCTCATATTTCGCAAAATGAAAGAATTGTGACTCTCTTCTATTTTTGTGTGTTTGAGTGCAGGTTGCATACTCTAGCTCCTGAAAAATATGAAATATTTCACAGCCTCGTGAAATTTCATGAAATATTTCACTGAAATTTCCACTCTTATATTTCTTTCTCAAGTTTCATGCCACTCTGACCATGATCGATTTTCAATTTTTTTATTTTATTAAACTTGTCTACGGATGCTAATCGAAAGTCATCATTGCACCAACTCTCTGCGAGCTACCGTTTTTGCACAATCCGCGAAAGTTTCTCTAATTTCTTGAATAAAAGGAGGCCGGCGCTAATGGTTCTCTCTGAAACGCGAAGTCTTGAAGGAGAACGATGAATTTCTCGGAAGGTAGCGCTAAAAACGCATAATAAAAAAAAACTAAAAATACTGCCGCATTCTTTGATCCTGCACGCGGTGGTGGTTCACACCGGGCTTGAATCAAAGAAAATCGATCAAAGAGTCCTCTTCCGAGTTCCTGACATTCCGAGTAATTCAGGATAATCACCAATTCAGAAGCAGACCAGGATTTAGGGTTCGGACGGAGGCGTTAGCGTATTGTAAACATCGGAGACGCATCGTGTATTTTTTGAAAACGCTCGATCGAAGATATTAACCACGTAAGCCCCATGCAAAATTCACATCGGACAGCGGGATGGTGGAACAAAAACATTACGCTTTTTGGTGCTGACATTTTGATGTTTAGATGCCGAAATCTGCAAGGTAGCTCAAGAAATTCCTACCTTGGAGGGTGGAGACGGCACATTATAGTCAGTGGCGAGGCGTGCTTTGCGATAAATCGATTCTCTGCGATTTAAACCTATTGTGAAGGATCGATAAACGGGGCGTTCTCAACGAAAACCTTAATATTCGATTCTTCACAATAGCTTCAAATGGTGAAATATCGATGATCGATCATTCCCACATCGCCAATGATTGTAGTCCATGCAATTCAGCCCCCATGCCGACATAAAAATGAGGGTAAAATCTTATTTGCCCTTCAATTTCATTGCCCCTCGATCGGCGCGCGTCCATTACTTAGACCAAATTAAAAAAGTATCGTGAGGGTGTGTGCTTCTGACCTAGTTTTAAAAACGCGATCAAAGGGGCCGGCCATCCGAAGAACGATGCTGCCAAGCTGGCGACAATCTTTTCACTGATTCCACGATAGAGCATTGCACTAAAACTACAAGTAAAGCAGAGTTTACATCAAGAATTTTACTCTCGCCAATTCCTGGACCTCTTTACCCCCATATCGATGGCTAACGAATACAATACCGCTTATCTGCAAACAGTGCAAACCAACGATTTTGCAAAACGAAGAGAGAATTTCGTAATTTTTAGGACTTTAAGATTAGATTTGCTTTTTTTCATGCATTACAGCATCTTTGAAGCGCTTCCCCATAGAGCTGGAAAAAAAACTAAAATCATCAGCTTGCGTATTTTATACTATAGAACGCGTCAAAGTCGTTGGCTCTTACTTGCCAAAATTATCAGTCAAGCCGCCTTACTAGATAACGATTTGGTACCCAAAAATTCCGCAGATTCTTACCTTCGTGGGTAACAGATCAACTGTACAACCTTCAAATAAAAGAAAGTATTCGGTTGTTAAACAAAATATTAACTCAGAATAAGTGGAAATCATTTCCTTGTCTGAAGAAGTTCGAATTGCATGTTCTTTCAAAAGAAGCATCTCGTCCAAGCAATTGGTGCAAATATTTCAGCAAATGTCACGGGGAATCTCGTCACAAACGGCCGGACCGAGCGATACCACTATTCTAACCCTTAGGAGCGCTAATTGCCTACTCAACGAAATTGAAGGCGAAATAGGTGGATCGCGCGATAACTCTGGAAACTTCCTGCTCTTCACGCTCCCGCGTAAAAGGAGGGAAAAGAACTCGAGTGAAACTAATCATGAAAGCGTTTAGATCATTCTAGTTTCGCAAATCAGAGAATATTTTGGTTCAAAATGAAGCAATGGCGAAACTGTGAAATCAATATTTTG